TTCGCACCAGTTTCGATCAACACACGGCATAGGTTGGCGTAAATAGCAATTTCATGCTTTTGAAAGACATATGAGCTATGATCTACCGAGCGATATGTGCCTTGAGAGCTCAACTGGTGTAGTCGTTGAGAGATAATTTAACGCACGCACGCACGCACGGAAAATCCGGAATGGGACGTTTTCTCCCTTTGAAAAACGTCGTATCGAGTTCGTTATTTCATCATATCAGGAGACGCTAAGTTGAATGTTGAGGAGGACGCCGTAGTAGGTCCGCCACCAGAACAGGATATTCCTTTGAACGTGAGAACTGTGTAATTGAGTTTTCGTATGATCCAGTGGTAGGTACCGAAAAAAAGCCGTTTGTACATAGAGCAAACTAAAAGGGAAAGGGAGCATTCCGTTGAGATTCACAGAGCGTTTCAACGAGATTTATGCAAACTTCGTTTACGTAACGATTTTATCGGTTAACTTCTGAGTTGACTGACACTTTCAGTGTGGGAAAATATGCTTATGGTAAACTACGCGTGTTGGTGATGATAATATTTAAATTGTGAGGAAGCTTTGGGAAATTCTCGTTGGTTTTTGTACAGAATTTTTTGTGCTTAGCTTTACAATTATTAACTTCTGCGCTCAGCTGAGAATACCTGACATATATTTCAAGTTGGAATATATGTCTGGTCTTCTCAGCGGTGTTGGAATCTCCAACACTGACGTAGCCACTGCATGCTCCCCTATTTTCGCGCGCTCACTCCATGAGAGGTTTATTCCTCAATCAGGCACTGTTCGTGAATACGTTAATATTCTGAAGGCTAGTCGCAAGGGTGAAATCACAACGGTGCAATCTTGTGATAAAAATAAGATTGACATCAAGGCTTCGGTGAGGACGCATTATAGGATGAGTTATGGTATGCTTGTTTGAGCTCTTTTAGTGGTAAATGATCGCAAACTCTTTTACGACGGGGTTTGTCTCACATTATAATCGATTTCTCATTCCGAATTCGAACTTTCGATCGGTGAGAAATTTTTTTTCTCATCTTACGAAAAAAATCTTTGTTTCCAATTTGTTCTTTTCATTTTCTGAAGTTGACATTGAAAAAGTGTAGATGCTCGTAGAACTTTCTTGGTCTCATTTTTATGAGAATCTCATTGGGGAGCTCCTGCTCTGAACTGCCGCCATTTTTGAGGAAAAACAGAACCCCGGGTCTGACAACCAGTGTGGAAAAATATGCGCGTGACAAAATAAAAATTATAAGGGAATTTTTGGAAGCTTTTGTTGGTTTCTGAACATTTCTACGCAAATTCGTGTGTAAACCTCCACAACTAGCGAGAACACTCCTGAGCTTAGCTGAGGGAAGCGAACATGTATTCCCAGTGTGGAAATATATGTTTGCTTTCCTCATCTGAGCTCGTAAGTTTCCTCACTACATTATGAAAATCCACAACAATTTTGGGTAGAAGTGTACGAAAACCAACGACAATTTCCCAAAATTTCCTCACAAATTCCCATAATTTTCCCAACACATGTAGCTGACCATGCACATATATTCCCACACTGTGTATTCCTCTAATGCTGGCATAGTGGGAATATGATGTCTCTTATGCGATGACATCTACGTGACTAACTGATTAAAGAATGTGTTCTTAATAATCAGAGTCCCCCCCCTCCCCTGGAACATTATAGGTTCCTCTGAGGTGTCTGCGCAATGAAAAATGTGAATCTCAAGTAAAATCGGCTTGAATTCACTTGAAAGAAATGCGCAGATTTAGACTATTTTGGCGACATCTCTTGAAAGAATACCATATACGGTCCACTCAGTGGATGGTTGAAATCGGTGTCACGCCAGGTACAAGGCATGGGTCCTCTGTTCCGAATGAACGTCTTGATAACTGCCAAGGATGATGAACATGTGGACAATATGATACTTTTAATTTTGGCCAACCCTAAACTGTAAGTTTCATAATGACTCGTTATACAGCGCTTATGCGACGGCATTTTGTATGAACATGTGCTGAGCTCACTGTCTGCGTGGCGTGATATTTCAATTTGACTATGCGAGAAATGTGCATATACTTGTTGAAGATAGTTTCCGTCGAAAATTGCTATTCCTGAGCTGTGAGATTCATCATGGCTCGTGAGTAATGGTACTTGGTATGAATATATCCACTCGTCGCTAACGTCACTGTGCTATACGAGAATTGGTCCTAGAGTTACGACTAGAAGGGTTCTCTAGCGCGTCCTGTATAAAGATTTACGATAGTTTTCATCGACAGTGTATGATAGTTAGTTCTTTCATCTGTGCTCTGTTAAGCTTTCAGCTTAAAATTCTCATTAATCGACGAGAACGACTGATTTTCGGAAGTTGCCGAGAGAGAGTACGGTCCTCAGATTCGCATGTGAATTAACAGATACAATGTGAGCACTCCACAGATGAGATTGCCTGCTTTGGTAGCTGGTATTGATTATTCATTTCATGTAAGTTCAAGGCTGTGTTCGGGAGGAGGTCTTGGGGTCCACTTTATTTGATGGAGAAACCGAACGAATATTGATAGATCACAAAGGGTGTAACTTTATATGCCAGCATATAGGCGTAGAACATTGACTACATAGAGACAATTTGTTATATGCTGTAGTCAGGCTATCTCTTACCTGAGTCACTACTCTGTGTGCACTCTTACGCGTTCAATTAACTATGTATTAGTCGCTTATAGACACTATATATTCAGCTCAACTAATGCCCGACTACAGTATATAACACACGTGTGTGAAATTCGTATTGAATTTCCATTCCCTCGCAGTGTGGGGTAATACACATGGTTGACCACTTGTGTTGGTGACAATATGAAACTTTTGAGGGAATTTCGCGAAATATTTGTTGGTTTTTATACACTTTCATCCTGATTCGTATACAAACTCCTATAAATAGGGAGGAAACTCTTGCGCTCAGTTAAGGAAAGCGAGCATATACTCCTCCAACACATACACTTGAACTTCAAGTCTTGGAGTAGACTTGCAAACTCACAAGATGCTCCCCATTATGAATACGTATTCCCCCTTTACGGAGGGCGATCGCTACACATATTCCACCAACACTGGTAGTTGGTGATGTGCTCATCTAAGTGTGATGCTCAGGTCCCTCTACGATTCATAGGGGTGCCAGCTTCTGGCATCACGGATACGGTGCGGTTGTTCATTGTTAGTACAAGTGGGAGTTCGAAAGCACCTAGAGCTGTTTGCGTTGTTCACATGCCAGTATGAAATCGACTCGAATGAGTTATTTGTCTTGTCGGGTCTTGTGGCAGGTATCTGATGATGTTGAAATTGATTGACGCTGATCGTGCATGCTCTCTTGATTATCCCTTCGTGTTTCCATGAATTAGTTGCAGTGTTGTAGTATATGTTCGCTTTCCTCAGCTGAGCTCGGGAGTTTTCTTACTAATTATAGAAGCTAAAGAGTTGAGTGCCAGTGCGGAGGTTGCAGCCAGCCCAGGCAAGGGGACTCTCTGTCTCCTAACATTCCGATCCACGGTATGTTCTTGTCACTCCCGGTGACGTGACGCCATTGGTGACGTGACGTGCGCTCGTTGCCGCCCACAACCTATTCGATTATGCCGCTCCATTTGATCACTTTGTTGCTCATCTCATTTTCAGTTCTTATCCCTCGTACACCTGTCTATCTAGTTTCTATCTTTGTTAATTCTAACAATGTTAAAGAACTCTAAATTTGAACTGGTGGAGTAGGGGTATGAAGACAGTTTGTCAATCGTCTGACTTTAGGTTGGACAAAGCTTGAATAGACACTCTCCCTGCACTGAAGAGATTCTGCCCATCTCATGTTCGTCCCTGTTCAACGCAACATAAGATGTGTAGCGGATCTACACCAGAACTTGGGTCTGCGTGTGAAAATGTCACGCATGCGCAAATGTGCGTCTGCGTCTGCGTTTTCACGTGCCGCGCGCCGAACCGAAGGGTATACAGAATTAAAAAACTTCGCTATAAGCAGTGTCAATTCCATTTGAGGGCCGAGATACTGAACCCAAGAGCTGCCATAGCTTTTTTCGTCTTTTCTGCACATAACAGCTCCATGTCAAAGCGCTCTACCCTCTTCTGGACTCTCTTCGGCATCACTATCAGCTTTGGTGTGAGCACTGGTAGTCGCACGCTGCTAAAGATATCTCACCGTGGAGTCCCACTCGACATTCGTCATGTACCAAGAATGATGGCACAGGCTCTCGCGGCCTCTGACGGAACGGTACAATCTCTCAGTCAAGATGATCTTGATTGTGAACGATGCTTCGCACAAGATGAGATGGTCTATGACTTGAAGGCATTGGGGGTACAAATTATAGACTCCAGTTGTCCGGCTGGTCAAAATCGAATTCTGAACTACTTGAGGAAAGCAAATCATATGTTGAGCATCGACTTCGATTGCGAGCTCGACTCGACGGTCTCTCTACATCCGACTTTCACCACGGACAGGACCCCGTGCACTGGTGGCAATCCTGCTCTCGGCACAAACGACCCAGGCTCTTCATGTCAGCGTAACCTCCAGGTTATCAATTTAGGCGCTGCTTTTCAAGCGGTTCGCTCAGCCGGACGGACGCGGAAGGATGTTGTGTTGGCTATCAGCGACAGTGGTGCTGACATGACTCATCCTGATCTGGTCAATCAGTTCTGGAGGGATCATTCCAATAATATCGGCTACAACTTCCTGCTCAACAGTACTAATGTAACTGATGACTTCACTGATGAGGGTCACGGTACTCACTGTGCTGGTATCGCTGCAGCTGAGACTGACAATTGCATTGGCATCGCAGGGGTGGTAAATATAGATGGGTCTGCGCCAAAAGTCAAGCTGATGATACTCAAGTTCATTAATGCGACCGGGTATGGCTCTCAGAGTGACTCACTGAGAGCTCTCGACTTCGCGATTAAAAACGGTGCAGCATTCTCCTCTCATTCCTACGGGTGGTTTAATGAGAGTGACATTATGAAGACCGCATACAAGAACGCCGCTGCTGCTGGGCATTTGGCTTTTTTCGGCTGGAAACGAGGGGGCCAATTTGGAAAATGCGCCGGAGTATCCGTGCTCCTACGCTGAAGAAACGTCAATGGTCTGTGTGGCCGCCAGTACCTCCGATCCAACCAAGACTATCCGGCTCGCCTATTTCTCGAATGCTGGTTCTGTTACGAAGATTGCCGCACCCGGTAATGCTATTTATTCAACTATGCCAGACGGGCAGTATGGTTTTATGACTGGTTCATCGATGTCGACTCCTACGGTTGCCGGTGTCGCGGCTTTGCTGGGTACGCTCGGTCTAGATAGTCGAGATATAGTGGACACTATTATCAAGTCTCGGACCGAAGATTTACCGAATAATCTCGGGGTATCTGATATCGGGCTAATAAATGCCTACAAAGCAGTCCAAATAGCTCTGGGCTCGCCGGCTACACGCTATTGATGCTCCATCAGTCTGTGCGGCATAGAGCGTCACCTTCCTGTAAATGGATACAGACTTTCTCCTTGTACTTGCATACAAGGGTGTGAGCATAGGGTACATTCTGTACTATTGATCTTGAGCATCGAGCGCTACTAGTTCGTAAGTTCGTAGCCATCTTAGCTCTAGGGCCAAGTGTACGTTTGGGTCGCATCTTTCCAGCTAATGTCGGGTCGTGTTGACAGTGTCAACTTGACACAGGAGAACGACAGGAGGCACCGGGCATCAACATAGTGGCGAGTCGTGACAGGGTGTTCTCCTCAGAGACATTCATCGTTCCAACGATCATTGCTCCCCTTCGTATTTGCGGTCTCAATTGCTCACTGGGTATTGACGTACCTGTGTGACTGTAGCAGGTAGAGGGATTTGTAGAAAACAGTGCGTCTTATGTATTCGTTTCGACCGTAAGGCTAGATGGACATTACCGGTTGGGGACCGATATTCGATATTTGTAATCTCCTTACCACTCCTTCGTATCGGCCTTATGAGACCATTAAAATCGATTATGTCACTATTGAGCGTGTTGAGGTAGTGAGCTTTTGTTGTGTGGCTACGCGCCATATCATATGGCCCATATGACTCTTATTTACACTCCCACGGAATCTACTACAGGTCTCATCATGGCATTCCAAGAGTTTGTTATGTTATGAGAGACCCCCCAGTTGGTCCTCAGTCATAGAGCATCCTACTCCAAGAGTTCCTTAATGACCGAGTTTTCTCAGACCGATGTTGTTGATACCTTATACCCGTCGTATGCTCCGGGAGTTCGACCCCCGGAGTGGGCAGGATGTTCGTTCTTTACGTCCACTCCTGCTAGAGATGTCGTTGCTGCTCTACACCCGTCCTCTGACTATCAATTGTGAGCATGGGGTCATAACTCCTAACTCCCTGGTCCAGGGCCCCTGGACCAGGGGTACACTCGGTCTACGCCTACCTCTCCATTGCCAACTCCTATTGTTGAAGCAGACGAAGTTTGTCCGGCCGCACCCGATTCTGTCGGCGCAGCGGATGTACCTATCAGTTCTTCTGCAACTTTTGAATCAAAAGTTTTCGTAACGCGGTTGCTAGTGACGGCAGGCCCGGGAAAGTGAGTGTCCGGACAGTTCCCGTTTGAGAAGTGAATCGTGAGATAGAGAATGTTGACCCCAAAGCTACTTCACAGCGGAAATAGGGACAAGTCTCTCAAGGATTGAAAAATCCTCAGTTCTGGTAGTGAGAACGTGTACGAGGCACGGAGCCAGTTCGGGATAATTCGTATAAAGCCAATCAAGATGTTGACATTTCATTTCGAGGTTGACTCAATCGCGATATGAAATGTCAAGAGTTAGGGTTTTCCCCGTTGGTTTCCTGCATTCACTCTCTTCACGTGATTCGCACAGCCCACTTTCTTGCACAAGGGTAAGTTGAAGAATCCAGCCGTTCAGACTCATCGCAATGAGGGATATTTTTCCCAAAATGATTGCCCGATTGTCTCATTTATCGGTGCCTCCTGTCTTGTGGGTGTAGTGATCATTATATTGTGTGCAATGCGGCATTGCCAATGTCCATTCGATACTCCCTCCGCACGTGTGCATGCCCCAAATGTGCATGCCCCAAATGTGCATGCGTATAAGTCCGTTTCACTGTTCGGCAGCGCTATTCATCTCCTCTGACTATCAGACGGTATCAATTTCTAGCTTTGATAGTATCAAGGCGGATCTCCTCAAGAGCTATTCCTATGATTGTTGACCCGAATGCTCGAATTTCATCAATCATGTATCCCTCGAAAGTCCCGAGGGAAAGCGTATTCGCCCATGTTGCGTGGTGCCGCTACCGAGGTGAAGCGGATGCTTTCAAGCCTATCCCTCCCCAACATACTTGATGCTCATTCTTATGATGTCAATCGTCTTTGTAGTCTCCACTGCCTCCGCGGTTTGGTATCATGATCCGTCCTCTATTACTCCTCGCTACAATACTATGTGTTTCGGAAGCGATGTCGCCCAACAAGGGGGTACCTGATGCTGTTCAGCCGCACGTTGATGAGTCACCTGACGTAAGTTCAAGTATGGTTGAAGTGGCATTGCTTCTTGCGATCCTGGCTTTATCGATCAGCAATACTGCCAATCTCTCTGCGGGCCATCTAACTTGTGCAGAGACAAGGGCTCGTACTGCAAAGCATACGGCCCCCCTGGAGATGGCGTTGGTGTATGCCAAGGCTTGTGAGTTCACCCACCATAATTCCTGCTTTCAGCCTGCCAGCTTGTGATGCGCCTATTCGTGGCATTCTAGTTACTATCGCCCAGATAACAGTCTATGCTACTTCGGATTCTCCGATGATTGCCCTGAAAATCGCCCAGTCTTCTGCAGAGGAAATGGGACCACTACACCTGGGCCTACCACTACGACTTCACCTGTCAGCACAACTACAGCTGGGCCTTCCACTACGACTGCACCTGGCAACACCACTACAGCTGGGCCTTCCACTACGACTGCACCTGGAAACACCACTACACCTGGGCCTTCAACGACTACTCCAGCTCCCTCGGGTACTAGAACTCTTGAATGCCCGGCTGACTCAGAGTTCCTTCTTAGCTGCTCATCCTACTGGGCTGTACGTTGGGAGTGGGAACTTCTCTGGTACCGCTTTCAGCGTCAATGCTACATTCAGTGAGAATGACACGATTCTAGAAAAGATGTAAGGGGTTCACACTCGGAGGTCATCTGCTTTTCAGGAAACTGTAAAATAGTGGTACTCCACAGTAAGAAACTGCGGAATATCGTGAGTTATGTGAAGAGAAATTGCTCTCTTCGCAGGAGTATCAAGATCGCGACCAACCCTGTTCTCACCATCCCGCCTCTCCCCTACAAGATGAACGGCTCATCCATTGTCGTGACCAATTACACTGGTGTACCTGACGCTTTCAAGCCATTCCTGAAGCGTGAGCCGGACCATTATTAGTGTCTCGATCTGTCATGATCCTCTGTTCAGAGGCAAAGCTGACATATAATCATGCCGATGAGACTATAGCCTTCGTTATCCCTGGGCTCGTCAATGTTAAGCTGCGTCGACCGTAAAGCGACAGTGGTGACTTTAAGCGATGATCGGGGCTTCAAGCGCCGATGCTGCTCACTGAGCCATGCTCACCACTATTTCGTCATTTATTTCATTATCAGTCTCGGTCTTGCTCCTGTGCAGAGCCCACGAGTGACCGATGTGGCATTGGGAATATCTTATGTATTTATGCCCGCCGAATGAATTTGACGTAGTGTCGATGTGCTTACTTGAAGTATTTATCTGCTTCATCCTCATAGGTCGTCAAGCGAGCTAGACAATGAGGCTTTCAGCTCGCCTGATCATATCTTGAGGCCCAAGGTTCTTCGGCTCCAATTTTTCCGGAGGTCGTCGGTGGTACCAGTCGTCAAGTCGTTGTAGTCTACCAAAGATAGGTTCCCCTTTCACAGCTTTCGAAAGTGTTGTGTTCATGGTGATCTCCTGGTTCACTAGCACTATCGGAACTAACGACATACCAATATTATTCAAGTCAACCCCAAGTAGGCTATGCAAACCTTGATGAACCGCGAGACTTCGAAAGCCATGGCCATAGACGAAGCTCACAGTAACCGAGCATAACGAGAGTTGCTGTAGTGATTAACAAACAATCTCCCACTTCCAACTTCCTACTCCTATCCCGATTAGGACAGTCTCGGCTCAGTCACAATGCCACTCACAGTCACAGACTGTTCTGGATGATATCAGTCTCTTTTAGCACGTATGCTCAGAGTATTTGGTAGTTGCGCTGTTCGTACTCTTTACGTGCATAGCTAGTTCGTTACGCTATAGTCTCTATCGTATTAAGAAGTCTTTCTACCATCCTTCGCTTGTGGTGTTCGTCCCTGTGGCCGCCAGCTTCTACAACATCTGGTACTGGAACCGAGAATCGAACATCATGTCTACTGAAGGTGAAGATGATCACAGGAAGTTGTCCTCGTTGTGTCCGCGCTTCTCTGGAGAAGGTGATGTTTCCTATGATGTTAACACTGGCATTGAACTTTTCTTAAAGAAGTTCGATACCTTTCTGCAACTGAGAGGCCTTATTCGTCCAGGAGTCGATGCTACCCCTGCTGAGCGGGAGAGGTTTGGAGCCAAGGCAGCGGGTATTCTCAAGTCAGCCCTCAAGGGTAGGGCAGCAGTCGTGGCGTACTCACTCCCCCAAGAAAAACAGGACAACTTTGACCTTCTCGTGGCCGAGTTGGGATTGGCCATCGGCTTGGATAGTCTCACGGCGTGGGCGGCGTTCTGCTCGAGAAGAATGGGAGAAACGGGACCTATTGATGGTTATGTTGCTAACCTTCGGGTACTATTGGACATAAGTCACCCTCGTCTAGGACAAGGGGCTAAGAGCGAGATTCTACGCAGTCAGTTCGTCTGGGGTCTCCCTCAAGGAACTGCCAAAGCTTTAGTCCTGGCTAAGTATGAGGACGGTACTGTGCCGTTGGAATCCCTCGTTATTCTTGCCAAGGACCATCTCAAAGCTGCGCGCTTCGAGGGGTCGAAGAGCATCGAGATAGCCGCTGCAGCTATGCATATGCGTGCAGACCAAGGCAAGGGCAAGAGAGGGTGGCATAGGTCTCCTGGCAATGGCAAAGGTATGGCAAGGGAGGCGGACTATACGGGTAAGGGTCAAGGAGGCAAGGCGGAAGTACGTTGTTGGGGATGTAATGAAAAAGGTCATGTTCGGCGAGATTGTCCCCGGCGGTCAAACGGACCAAGGGCCCACGAGCAGTAACGGATGCTGTCGTGGATTCTAGCCCGGTTCCATCCGGCTTAGCTGCTGCTTGTGCCAACATTGACTGCTCACGTTTACCAATTCTGGATTTTGGTCTACAATCCCCTACATCTGCTACTATCCATTCTTTGTCTGGTCTATGCGATCCTTGTTGTGCAACCACTCTTATTACCAGTAAAGTTGCCCAGTCCCTTAGATTACCTATCTCCTCGTCACCTAATACGACTTTGATTACTTTGGGTAATAGCCCTATTGAATGTGAAGGGTGCTGTGACATTTGTATAACAATTCGGTCTAATTCTTGGCAATTGAATTGTCTGGTAGTATCTTTGCTACCTAACAATCTTCAGCTCGTGGTGGGCGCTGACTTCTGGCGGAATCTACCTTATGATAATCATAATATGATTTGGTATTTCACTGGTCGAAGTCCGGTCATGTAGAGGCTCAGCTTGGTGCTGCTGCAATTCCCCTGAAGCCGATTCGATCATACTGTTTGGAATCGCGCGGGGTTAAGGAGTATTTAGACGGCGAGGAAAATACGTATACAGTTCTTGAAGCACCAGACTGTACAGCTATACGAAGACCTATACGTAACGGTTCCTCAATTTCGTATGAATGGGAAGTTGCGTGGCGTTGGCTCAACAATGAGGCGCCTACGTCTATATCCTGTCCCGAGGAGTATTCCCTTCCATCCCTAACTCCTGACCAACTTTCCTTACTCCACCAGGAGATTGATGCATGGATAGCAGATGGTTGGCTTCTGGAAGTTCCTCCAGACTCTGGAGTCCAGAGCAGGAGTATAAAATTTGATGCTGTCTACCTATTGTACCTGCAATTAATGAGCTGAAAACTACTCCAGTCCGACCCACACTCAGTGTTGCCTATCTCAATTCTTATTGTATTCAAGCTAGCGATCCTCTCGCTGCCGACTGTGGGCGAGAGCTACGACGCTGGCACCATTATCCTCAAGCCCAAGTACTCGACGCTCGGCGAGCATACCCGTCATTGAGGATCCGTGATGACCTCAGTTGGTACCAGTGCTTGAAGTATAAGGGCCGTTGTTATAGGCTTGTCCGCTTAGGGTTCGGAGCGTCTTGTGCTCCGCGATTACTGAAAAATGTATTAGATTTTATTCTCCAAAACTACCCTTCTACTCTCCGATACTTCGATGATATTTTGGTGACTCGCTTAAATACTCAGTCGGTTGAAGATTTCAAGAAGGTGGTGACTGCTGTACGAGACGTCCTATCTCAGAACGGCTTACGAACAAAAGAGCCTGTGGATTTGATAGGATCTGAACTTTTGGGGTTGGCAATTTACCTAGATGGTAATGGTGTTCTACGTTGGAAGCGGCGTCGTCCACTAGAAGCTCTTGTTGAATCTATTGAGTCCCGTGTTAGTGAGTCACCGACATTACCCGCACGAGAGGTTGCTTCATGGCTTGGCGAATTTGTCGCACATGTACCTAGTGCTGGGTACTTACGTGTCTGTGTTGCTTTTGGTCGTCGTCTCCTGAACCACTCATGTGGTAAGGATCGATCAGCTTGGTCACGACCTATATCTGAAGATGTACGAGACGACATCAAGAATTTATGTCGTGCTATTCGGCAACATGGTGATCCTGCTTCCGGTCGGTGGCTCTTACCTGATCGTGAAGAGAAGATCAAATGTTGGGTAGATGCAAGCGAACTGGCGGAGGCAGTCGTTCTCACCGATCAAGCAGATTCGGTCATCGCTGATGGTTCGTGGCTTGCTCCTACTAGTGATGTTACTAACTCCGGTAAACCATCTACACATATAAATGTGCGAGAGCTGGAGGTTATCATCCGAGGTATCAAACACATTATTTTATATGGGTTTAAAAGAGCTACTATTATAAGTGATTCCCGTAGTGCAATTTCTTGGATTTCTAAGACTTCAAGTCATCAGAAAGTTGCAGCCAAAGGGATGTATAATTTCCTCATCGATCGACGTCTCTCTGTTATTCGTGCGTTGAAACGTGAGTATGATCTTACTCTTGATGTGCAGTGGATCTGTTCAGAGAAGAATCTATCAGATTCTCTAACAAGGCTACCGAAGTCCCTGACCGCTAAGCTCCCATTAGGTGCAGCTGTCTTTGTAAACAGCTGGGGGAACGAGGGTGGTCAGTCCCGATGGTGGCCTAGTCATGCAGAGTTGCTCGAAGCGCAAGCTGCTGAGAACATCGATTGCGATGCTCCTAAGTTTGATGTTTATCAACTTTGCTCGCTCATTGGTCCACTCCCTCTATTCAATTCTACAAAATACTCAACACTGCGGACGACCTGTTATCTGCTATCATTCAGTCATTTAGTTAGATGGGAGTAGTGGGTAGTGGAGTGAAAGCATCGCACGTTGCGACAGAAATCGAGTGGGACCCGAAAGTCCCAACCGCGAAATTCTGCGAATAATCATTCCCAAAATTGCAACAGTGGATGTTTCGCTCCGCTCGAGTAGTGGTAGCGAGGTTACATGAATATCTAACCAGCCACAGTGAGTCAAGTCGATACTCTCTGGCTGACGACCCTCGCTTGACTACTCGTGCCTCCCCAATGCACTACTCACTACTCCAAACGCACTCCTACTGATTCTACTAGATGACACAACTACTGCCTTTCTTTCTCGAGTAAAGCATAGGATCAAATAACTAACTACATCACTTGTCTCCCATAATCATTTTTGCGTGCTTTCTCGACCGGATTTCCATAGCTTGAGCGGTGTAGCTCAGCTAGGCGTCACTCTTCCATTTACCCGCCGCTTGCACCTCTTTTTCTGGAACGTCACACAACTTGAGAAGAGTACTGCCAGTTCGACGCAGGCCATGCCCAGTAACATTCTGTATTGACCAACGATCGCCCATACCTGGGAACTGTGAGTCGACCAAGGCCCTCAACTTTCTAGCATAGCGGTTCTTCTGTATTTTTGGGAACAGACGGAAGCGATTATTCTTCAAAGCAATCTTCCGACGGGCTATCTCATGAGCTGCACACCACTTCACCCCACATGCGTCCTGCTGTTTCCCTTGCATCTCCCAGTGATCGTCACAATCGATCTCCTTATAAGTTGGACCATCCTCAGTCTTGGGGTTCATCAACTTAATTTTGAGACGGAGTTTCCCCGGAGTCTCTATTAGCTCGATATCGTTACCATTCAATCCGTGGGTTCCATCTAGTCTACAGACTGTGGCCACCGTAAAAAGAGTGAGAGTCTTGATTTGCTCATTGTCGGAGCCTAGAACTGTTGGCATTCGTATCAACGAGTCAATCAGCTCGTCGTCCATCACCGGAGCTTGCTTTCTCTTCCTCCCCTGACCCTCACGTATCCTTTTCACAGCATCGAGCGCACGTTTGACGTGCTGACGATCGGTTTCTGTTAGCTTAGCTTCACCGCGAATTTGGCTGAAAGTCTGGACTCCCGAAACATACTTGCATATGGTTTCATAAGTCAGCTGGGGATCGTCGAACGACAGTAAAGCCCGGATGAAAGTCTGCAACCTCTCACCGTTCATTGGACGCCCACAAATCTCTTCCTAGTTCTTATTAGGCGTCTCGTACTGCTTCCGGGTTGACTCCCGGATGGATTCCGCGCGCAGGGCTTTGTTTAACTCCTTCATTCTCTCCGAGCCTTCAGCTGGTTGCTGCGTTGCGAACACCTTTAGGCAGGGTGTGCCGTTTCCATTTTGAGCATTTTTTCTTCCCGGAAATTTCCGGAAATTTCCGGCGGAAATATAAAATGTGGAAATTTCCGGAAATATATATGCACCGAACAGGAAGATCTCATTTCTTCGCGTAAGCGAAGAAAAATCGACGATATTCTTGTTCTTTCCACCCATTTTTCACGCAATCCACTGTCTTTCGTAGTATAGAATATATAACTCCTTTTTGTAGGCTTAGACGGAGATCCACGTCAAGTATACGCGATTCTACTCACGTTTCGCCGCCGGATAGCCACACTTCTTTGAGAATAAAAAGGTATAGAAATGCGGTCACTTTCAATGTTTCACTCGTACACTTTGACCAGGGACTTCGGTACCAATGAAATTTTTTTAATCGATTCAGCGACCACAGAAATCCCAATTGACACAGATTGTGTCACACAATTTCACGGCATTTTTGCGGCCGCCTGTTCGCCATCAAATTTGTACTCAAAATAACTTTTTCTACAAGGCCTCTTTTGCAACGAAATGCAACTATCACCAAACTTAGTCTCAGGAGAAGTTCGTCACTGACGAATCGTCACTTGTGTCATGCCATCTCAAATACGCAACGCAACGCAACGCAATGCTTATTGCCGGGCTTTACGAGCTAGCAGCCCATCGCCCTCAAACGTACAATTGCAGGCTCAGAAGCACCCGCAGAGACAGTGAGGCTATAACCCCGTCGACATCAGAGATATGTGGCTACTACTACAACGAGAGAGAGAGGTAAATACTGCAAAGAGCGGGGCCAGATATAATACCTAAAATAGAAAAAAGGGCTTCAAATGATAGGGAAAAAATACTACTGTAAAGAGGACGATATAGACCCCGGGCAGTTCTAACATATGCAGAGGTGATGACATCGCACGATATATGCTACGAGAAGCACAGGGAGGGTAACGAACCACCAGAACAGGGTTTACACGGCAGACAGAAGACAGCTGCGGTTGGGTAGGGGAAGTAAGTCAAGTCGACGACGGTACTACAGACGCTCCTCTTGCTCTTCGGCACTGGGCAGAATGCACCGGGAATCATGAAGGTGAACATTGACAGTAAGATAGTCGAGAGCGAGAAGGCATCGCGATGGTTACCAAATCATACAGTAGACCATGGTAGACCATGCTCATGCAAAACCAACTGAAGTAGTATTCGAAAAGGATAATAGCCCACTGCCACTGGTGCTGCACGTGGTGTTGACGTCCGGCAGAAACATGCCTTCGAGGCCACTGAGCGAATTGAGAGCCTGAATTCGAGGCCAAAAACGAAGATCTTGGAATTTTAAAGTTGAAAACGAGTCTTACACTCGGGCGTCTGAGAATCAGAAACCCGTTATCTGATCAACCCAAGGAAACTTTCAATAGCCCAACACTGGAACTCTTGGAAACAATCCTCAAACTGTCGACGAGTGAATATATTATAGAAGTTCTATAATAGAACTGTGAACGATTCAGCTTAACGGCTACACATCGTCAGTGACGATGTGACATCGACGATTGGCTAAGCCAATCAGAGTGGTCAGCAGTTCAACAACGTTTTGCTAATATTGTAGTCTGCGATGGCAAAAGCTTCGTAGTCAAGTGAGCGTTGTATTCTCCTTTATTTCTAGTCTATCCCCATGTTATTCTCATAGTAGAGAGACACTCTCCATCGGCGAAGTATCTTCACGCAGGAACGCTATGCACATGCGTGCTGCGCTAAGTTCATTGATCATCGGTTGGTCCAACTTCTGTCTTCTTCGTCCCGACTTCCCCATGCCTCCTGCGCGTCGTGTTCCCGGGAAGTCCTCTAACTTGAACTCCAACTCACAGGGCTCTAACAGCGCCAACAGTTCACAAGCTAGCCAGTTACTTGAGAGACAACCCGATCCTAGTCATCTCAGGTCCGGGACACTGTCCCGGGAACAGTCACTGGATGCCCACCGTCAAATGGGGAGCTGAGTTGAGGGATCCAGTTCAGCTCTCGTAGATGCTCAAGATCGCATTTCAGGGGTCGACTTAGTTGCAGTTGATCCCTCGTACTGGCTGAGTATCATGCGAGAGTCTCTCTTCATTTCAGTGCCCGAAGTGATGAGACCTCCTCACCAAGGAAGGCGCCATCCGTTGTCCCTGATGTTTTCTCACTCTGGCGTACCCGTGCATGCGTGCTTCATGTTAGGGTCGATGGGTCCGGGTTTTCGACAGAGCAGGATTCTTGCAAGCAACCGTAATCCAAGCTCCATGAGACTCCATGATCGATCTCATAACTGCCTGCCAAGCAGTGCTTGGTCACTAGCAGTGATGTTGATCGATCGATCCAGCAGTTACAAGCAGACGAATTGT